AAGGTGAGATAAAAAAGTGGGAATCAATCAATCCAAGAAAATGTCGAGAAAACCTTTAATACAACAAAAGCTCTATACCGAAACGGGAAAGAACTTGGAATATTTTTGACGAGTGACAAAAGCAACTAAACCACATAGTCCTGGGGTTTAAAGTTTTTTCGACAAGATGTAATAGGATTCCGTCTAATACCTGTAACTGAGATGTCTAATGAGCATCATGGTTGAGTGACAGTTATTAGGGAATTAACTCCTTTAATATATAAAAGTTATCCTGTGGTTTCCGTGCGTTTTTCTGGCCACAAAATGAGACCACTTATGTTAAGTTAAGTTAAGAATGAAAATATAATGTTTTCTAGGTAATGGAAGTTCAAACATTAGTAAATAGCGAATGTCATTTATGTGGTTTTATTTGGGGGCCAGAAAAATATACACATTCTTAACTCCCTTACAACATGAAACAGTCGTAGATTAGTCTGAAGCCCAGAAGAAAACTTTTGCATTTGGCAACTACACGTTAGTAATCTAGTGAAAACTATGATTCATTAAACTGGAATATTGGTGGAATAGGTACTGATGATACTATAAATCCTGTAACCAATTGATGAAAACCCAGTGAAATCACGTACACAATGCAAAACCAATACAGCACAATTATTATTAATTGAAGTGAGCTTTTCCCGAACTACAATGTTAAAATCCATCCATGTAATAGCTTCGTTAATCCCGATAGTCGTATCGAAATTTCTATAACATTTTGATTAACAGTGTATTTATTCCGATAACTCTTTGTCTATTCGGTTGGGCGGATATTGTTCATTTTTTGTATACGATGATACGTGATTCGATTTTCAAACTTCCATCAAGTTCACTAAAGCTACACGTGCCTAGTTTGTACGAGGTATGTAAATTAAGTGATGAGACTGATTTTTTCAATTTTTTTATTTAAATATAATTACAATTTTATATTATCATCGTCAAAATAACTCCCCGAAGTCACAGCGCTGGAAGTGGTTTTTCCACTCCTTGCTGGAACTACGATTCTGGAATAGCCTTCAGCTGATCGGTAACACCCATTTGCATGTTTTTGACTGTCCCAAAACAACTTCGGGCAGAGATAAAAGTCACAGGGACTCAAGTCAGGTGAATAAGAAGGCTGAAAAGCCACCGGAATGTTTTTATTGGACAAATACTCGATTATTGACACTGTCGTCTGACAAGGAGCATTATCGTGTTGCAACACCCAGTTCTTCTTGATCTGATGAATGATGGTGTGAGTCAAATTCAACTATTTCCCGATCATTCTGACTGTCAACCGACGGTCTGAATCAAGAAGCTCCCGGATTCTATCGATATTTTCATCGGTTCGTAGTTTATCTTCAACCTTTATTAAAATGCCTTAAACCACCGAAAAACCGGGGCTCTTGACAAGACACTACCTCCGTAGCCCTGTTTAGCAAGAGTTTCATTGCACTGTGCCCAACTCTGAAGCAAGACCTGATAGCACACCGTTGCTTGAAATTGATGTCACTCATTTTTAGAACAGAATAGAACTTACCCACAAAAAGTCGCCACGGACAACCAAATGACTGGATCGAGTTCAAACTCGTACCGAACGTGGATCACATGTTTCCCTGTCTTCCCTCCAAGCTCGGCGCCTTCAGTGTTGCCAGATCGAATGCTCCGTTGCCAGTCTCATTTACAGACCTCGTAACTTGGTTTGTTATGTTATACCGGTAGTAGTGAAGATAAATATTTTGAAAATGGGATTGTGTAGCTATCTATACAAAGCTTCATTCGATACTTTTCAGGCACCATTGATTTTGATGCAAAAGTATGCGGTATGTGCTATGGCTTTTACCTGTTGGCGATTATAGAGTACGAGCTTCGTTTCACAAGTACAAGGGGATAAAAATTTCTGTAAATTACATTTTTGTTTAGCAGAAATCACGCGTCAGGCTTTTTTGAAAATTTTGTGGGTATCGGAGCAGTTCTATCTGAGATATTACACCATTTTCAAAGTTTTGACCGTAATGTTAATGAAGAATGTTCATATGTTTCGATAAAAAGTATCCCATTGCATTTCAAATTCCGAAAATTTGGCAACATCTGGTAGATATCCTGATTGATTATTATCACCGTGTTCAAAATTAGGTCCTCTACTTATCAAGATATTTGGCTGTTTCCAGACTTTTGAATAACCCTATTCACTAATATACCAGATCGGAACGAATTATATTTATTAGGTTATTTAGCAACTATTCGCATTCCAGCTTGTTAATGAGTAAGAATTGCAGCAAAGTAAAAAAAAATCAGTTTTCTCACATAGGTAAAGTAACCGTTATCTATCTCCAAGTTAAGCATTTGTTGTTAATTGCATCAACGTTTACATTTTTGTTACACAAAAAGGTTGCAGTTCATCTTCAACAATAATTACAGACCTGGATTACAAATTATCAAGTGACGCTGACGGTTACAGAAGAAAATCTATCCCGTACCACCCTGCGCGTGATCGGCCTATTGAAAAAACAAAAAAAAAACTAAAATATATCCACGTAGTATTGTTGTTGAGTATTGTATGAATTATGAGACATTTTTCACTTACAGAGAGAGTACAACATTTTATCTTGAGGGAATACATTACTTATAAAAGACTGAAGATAATTGTTTATAGACTTTATATCTGTTTCTCAGCTTATTTATCGAAAATCAAACTGAAGACTGAAGAAAGTTAAACTTCAAAATACAAAATTGAGGAAAAAGCATGTTAGCTTTGAACCATTTTTAGTAAAATTCCAGCGACGATTCAGTATTTCGTGTTGCAGCTTGGAAAAGCGTTAGTATCGTATGTACACATTTTCTTTGATTTTTTCAGCATTTCAGAAAATATTAGACTCAGTTTCAGTCGAGGGCATGCGACGTCAAAAATATTACGGAAATATACACTTTACTGCTGTATCGGCTGCCTTAAATTATATATGCATGTTGATTTGCAAAGCAAGGTGTATGTATCATTGTCGGATGTAATGTAGGGAAGACCCCATCAAAGTGAGCACTTCAAGCTTTCCGATATTATTACAATGTCTATATTATTGAGAAAAAATATCTGAAATCATTTTCTATTAATCCATCTTCAAAAAATAAATAATATCAATTCTTGGTTAGATGCAACTGTCAAGAACATAGATAACATCAAACAAAATGTAGCAAATTATTCATTTTGCCCAGACTACTGGATAAAGCGAATACATATTACAAATTGCTTGAAACTTAATTTTATACAAACATATCAGAAGTTAATTAATAATAAAATAACAATTTCAAACTCACTAAGAACAAATATAAGGGTTCGTGTAAATACCCTATCTACTTTGATAGCCCTTATTTAAGAGTTTTCTTATTCTTTACCAAAATCATCGATTCATTCCTCCTCATTTATACAACTGAGAAGGTCATATTAAAAGAGGTTAGATAGCTTAAAAATCCGTAACGTATGTCCTAAAAGTTTTGGCACAAAATTCATTGGTTTTAATTTTAACAAACACAAAATAACATCAAGTTGACTTTGGAAAAAAAAGTGTGCTTACTTACATTACTGTCAGTTGACATTTATTAATTTTTAAGTTTTCGCTAAGACGTATAAATTAGAAATCAGAAAAAGTTGGTTGGCCGGTACCCAAAGCTGACATCAATCTGCCGAATATTCGAGAATGAAAACATTTCACGCAGGACCGTTTATCCAAACATATTGTGAGCAGGGACCATGTCTGAATCTCACAAAAAGTGATTTAAAAACATTTACTGCACACTCAGAGAGATTGGACAGAAGGGCAGAAAATCAGGTTGCAATGTCAACCAGAAGGCTGGTTCTTCAATACAGATCGATATCGTTGGAATTGAGGAGGAATGGTCTTAAATATCGACAGAGACCTGAGTGCCCCAAATAGTATCAAGCACAACTCCTTCGTATACAAAAATGCTGTTGTTAACTGAGGCAATATAAAAATCATTATTTTAGTTGACGAAAAGTACTTCACTTTGAGTAATTTTGAAATGAACGGAAACGACGTATTTTATACGGATAACGTAGAGGAATGGTCTGACAATGTTAGATACAAACATAAAGCGAAATTTGCAGATAAAATCCTTGTCTGGTGCGCAATTTCTAACAGGGGTGTATCCCAACCTTTTCTGAGAGGAGTGAGGGGTGAAGCTTTGAATAGTCAGAGCTATATTGACAAACTGTCTTTTTAAATTGCTTCAGTTTGTCCACGAACATCATGCTGATCGCCATATCATATTTTGGCCAGACCTAACATCATGCCATTACTCAAGAGACACCCAAAACTGGCTTCGATAACCAATATACCTTTTGTTGCCCCCAAAAACGATAATCCTCCAAACTTGCCACAGGCTGGCCCAATAGAGGATTTTTGGGCTTGATTGTCTAGGAAGGTTTATTATGGAGGCTGGGAAGCCCAAGATGAAGAACGATTAAGATGGCAAATTTACGAGAGAAATTGCTCTGAATTCCATCCAGGACCTTATGAGAGATATGCGAAGAATGTTGCGTCTGGTAGAGCAGAATGAGCCAGTCCACATAATTTGACAGCATAGTCTACTTAAGAAATGAGTTGTAACGTAATTTATGATAACTAGTTAGTATTTAAATAAATTCCTTCATTATAAAAAAATCCGATAAATATTTTTGACAAAACTTTTGTGACATACGTTTGGAGCTATAAGCACACTAACAAATTTGCATAATCAATGCTTTTGTTGAAAGAATGCATTTTGTTGTCCGGTAGCCAAATATAACCTAAAATTTTGCTACTATGGATTGCCGATCGTTGATGAAAGTTGAACGTGTGAGTCTATGTACTTTTTTACTATAAATAAAGCAACGGTTTGAATGTAAAACTGGAAATTCACTTTGCTCACAGTGGGGGTTACCTACTATTGGTACTACATGAAGTTCCGTTTTCAATATTGGTTCCAATGTCTTACCTCCGACACTTGCAAAGCAGCAGCCTGATGAAAGCTGCTCGAAAGGTCCTGTTAAACACCGTATAGATAATCGGGTTGATAGTGGAAGAGACGTATCCCAACCACAAACAGGTGACTACGACGTTTTTGGGTACATCGCAGTCTGGACATGCTGCGAACAGGATATTCAGGATGAAGAAAGGCGACCAGCAAAGGACGAACGTAAAGAAGACCAAGCCAAGGACTTTGGAGGCCTTTTGTTCGGTCGCCACTGATGTGGCCGCCATTGGGGGTTTGCGTTTCACTCTGCCGGCCAGTAACCTGAAAGAAGAATTTTTTTGTGAATAACACAACACTAAAATTGTCAATAAATGTCGAATCTTCAGTTTTGAAAAAAATTGATATCAATTCTCTTAACAACTAATTTATATATACTCGAGAAGCCGCAAAGAGAGAGTTCAACTATGAAGGTACTACGTCTGATATAAACAAATTAATTATATTTTAGGTTCAACAATCGATTTTTGAGTTGGCAAAGATTACTAGAACTGTAAAATGTTCTTGTAAAAACCTTATGAAGAATGACTTTCGTCAATCTTTTAATATTCAATATATTGTAGATCTGTACACCTAAAGCAAGGGTGCTCATGGGCTCAAAGTTTTTCCACGAGATACATGTGTTCCATGTTGGGCAGTCCCTGCCTTTCCACAGCGTGTTGTGGATTCGGTACATGATATGTAATATTTATTTGATAGTTTTTAACGTTCTTGCAATTCTGATACATGTACAGTGTGGCCCAAACGTTTGGAGTATTGCTCCGAGACACAAACTTTTTCAAAAACCATTCAGACTTGTTTTGCTCGATCCATACGGAGTACATTACGTACAATATTCAAGAATATATAGGGTGTTCGACTACAGAGGTAGATAGCAAAGCTGCTTTTAGTTTCTACGCCACTGGGCGAGGAAGAAATGTAATCGCAAAATCGAAAATGAGATGTAGATATTATATGACATGTACATCACTAACAACCACGTCACTCATTTCCATATTTATGTCTATTTCCACTCAATGTTGCTATCATGTCAAGGACGAAAAAGCATTGTAGTTATTGAAAATCAATCCAGTGGCGGCAAAGAACAATTCAAAAGTGAAAAAAATAAAATCGCTCAAGCTTTGTTTTCTGGCGTTTCAGAGGCTCCTGATAATTTCTGTAGGGGTTGAAATTCGGGGTTTGTGAGGGATCACATATCAGCTATATTTAACACATTATAAAGCAGTCCGGCACGGGTATCATGTAAAAAACCTACAAAACGTCAAAAAAACCTATAAGATGTCAACTTGCAGACTAGGTAGTTTTTAGGGCGCAAACAGTCATTCCACGTTTGCTCACTAGGATCATTGTGAACGTCCATCTATGGAGGAATCACTCAACTAAACTACGCATTATTGGTCGCATAGTTTTGTAAGGCTGAGTGATCCGGGTCTGTAGTTTTTATCTCTGAGATGAAAGTTGGTTGAATAGCAAGATCGCATCTGGATAATTTTGTGTATTGGTCTGCATGTGTATAAAATCAGTGATATTTGCTGTGTTTGAAAATCATTACTGAATATGCCGAATATGACGGGTTATTTATATGTTGTGCTTTCTGAAGAGAGGTTATGTTCAAAGTTATAAATTACGAAAAACTGAGGAGAATTACGGGAAATCATCACCGCGCCCGGGTTGTGTGTAGTTACTGTTAGCATGTACGTATATGGCTTGTAATTCGACAGTGTAGGTACAGTGAATATAATTATTTCTTATCTCTCTCATTTTTGAAATTCATCAAGTTTGTATATGTAATTACCAGAACGGATAAGACAAAGTAGATGCGCAACTAATTTCTAGCTTTGAATCTTAATTAAGTGTATTTGAGACAAGAACCCAATGTAATTATCATCAACACATACATCTTAAACTTACAGCTTAGACCTCCAGTAATGCCATCTCGGAAGCAGATTTTACATCACATCAGAGCCAAAGATTGATAAAAAGCCTCATGACGTTTAGGTAACACGTACAACTAAGTGCTAAGTTAACATCTTGTAGAATAACCTACATAATGTCAAAAAAAAAGAGCATTTTTTTTCAATAGGTGCCTACCTATAGTTTTATAACATCCGCAAGATTCTGTGTTTTGCGATTGGTTGTTAAAATGAGTTATGTACTTATGTATTTTGGCTAAAAAATGAAAGTTTCTCAAACCAGGACCTCGACCTCTTCAATACAGGGAGTACCGAATTCTCTGCAAGAAGATGTATTCTTCAGCGGATGCATAGTTTATCCATTTCTGGATTTTTTGAGTAAATCAGCTGAATTCTCAAAATATAATAATGAATATATATCTATATTGGTCATGAAAACATTAGAATACGACACCCTCTGTATTTCTACGTTTTCAGATCCAACTACGTCTGTGTTGTTTTTTGATTCCTAGCAAAGTGGGCTTATGAGACGAAGTTGAGAGAATCCGTTTAAAAATGCAACTTTTCACTTTATTATTCAAATGGTCAAGAGACGGGTTGACATACTTCAATGCCTTTCAGACAAAATATATAATTGTCTATACATATATGTCATAAACACATGGATACCCATAAAAAGCAACTTCAATATATAGACCAATACTGGGACAACCTGCATAATCCTAATTAGTTTCGGAATACGTTTTTATGGACGATGCAGCATAATCTTGAGCAGTTTTTGGAAAAGCTTCTGCCCTGGTACCTGCGACAGAATTGCAGTGTTGGTGAACGGCTTGTAGAGATGATTATAACAATGTAAATAAGTATCAAACGGCTCTAACATTACGATCGAACCCACAATACGCTGTAATGAAGTACGGTCAGCCCAATTTGGAGATCTTGATATATACTATTGTCTTACGAACATATACACAACATTCTGAATTTAAAAAAAATAGCTGAAGGCCATTCCTTTCTGCGGCGTCTTTATAGATGTACACAGTTTAACCGTATTGTATGGAAGCAGAAGCGCCTGACTGGTCTATGTGGCAGGCCTAGAATCTGGTGGCACAGTTCATAAGAGTAAAGTCCGTTAGTGCATTGGTAGGTGAGATCCAGATAGCTTGCCTGTCGGTGTCAGCTCGGCCCGAGTCTGTCTACCAAGATAGTGTAGATAGCGTAGTAGGAGGAGCAGCGTCATAGAAATGTAAACAATGTTTTAGCTCAGATGCTATTTGAGCCTTCTACAGTTGACAAAGTTTAGATTGCGGAAGGTACCTCCTAACCCTAAACAAATAACTTAGCCTCAGTTGCGTGTGATGGATTAACTAACGTTCTAAGCCGAAACGAAGTCAGAAACGCATACAAAGCCCACGATCCATCAAAACTGAATGCGGGTTTGGGTTGTTCTTACTATTTGAAGCAGCGGTATCACTAGGATCGAAGGAGCTGAATAATCAAGTGAAAGTGGGCGAGGTTGTATTATTCCTCGAGGCCATTCGTGGCAATTTTCGACGTTTATGGATGTATTCATTTTCTATCTAATCTGAAGCGCAAAATAATGCAGATCCTCGAAAACTAGTAGATCCACGCTCACTACCCATTAGGTATTCTGCTCTCATATTTTCAGAAATTACTGACCTCCAGACAGTGATAACCTTACGGAAAAAATAATTTCTTCAATTTGATTTTTTGGAAACGAGGTAGTCTTACATCAAGAATGAGACGATAATATTCTGATGAAATTTTGTTGACAAGTAATAAGAAAAGAAATTAATAATGTGCTGGGCGACCCCGCAGCTGAATACGTCTAGGCATCAACAAAATGAGATGATCGATGTCTGGTTGAATTTTGTGAATTAGCTGTGGCAAAGTCTGTGGCGGATGGTGCAAAGTTCATAGTCTCCTCGTCATCATATCCCACATATGTCTGATGGGATTCAAATCCGGTGAACGGGGTGGCCACGCCAAAATATTAACTCCTGCCTTTTGATGAAAGTCCGTAGTACGACGAGCAATATGGGGACGTGCACTGTCTTACTGAAAAAGGGCGTGTGGACGACCCTCTAATTAGGGCAGTAAAGAGGTTTGCAGCAGTCATATTGCCTTGAACAAAGAAAATGGGTGATCGGCTACCATAGGCAATGAGCAATGACCCCCTAACCATTACTCAACTTTTCCTGTGTACATGCCTCTTAACAGCAAATCCAATACCACGTTGTTCTCCACGCTGGCGTCTTACCCTTCTATGACCATCGTGCGTGTCTAGACATAATCGCAATTCGTCGCTAAAGATGAAATTATGCTATTAGGCCGTTCTCTACTCCAGTTCAACCGTTGACTACAGTGGTCCGCAGCAAGCGGAAGCACTAACCGTGGACGGTATGAAAAAAGTCCAAAGGCTCGAATGTGGCGATAGAATGAACGCACAGTAACAGGTCTACCTTCTTCTCCACACCATTGGTCAGCGCTCTGATGCGGGGGATCAGTCAGCCCTCTTCGTGTTCCTCTACCTTCTTCTATCCACACATGACACACACGTATTACCGTCAATACAGTACAATTAACACGGCGGCCAATTTCGCGATAGGATAAACCAACATCTCGAAAGGTAATAATTCTTCAACGTCGTTAAAATGGTGATAATTTGGACGTTTTCGAACTCGAGGCATTTTGTTACGTTTAACACTAGTAAATGAAAGTGCAGTAACTAAAAATATCTTTACTACTCAGCTTTCAGAAACTGCTTCCTTTACAAAAACTAAGAGATAACATTTTAACAAGGGTAAATAAAAACAAAGATAAAACGTTGACATTGTTGCCACAGCATGCTTTAAATATAGTCATAATGTTGCCAAAAAAAAAACAACTTGGAGAAATGATTTTTTCTGAGTGTAACACTTCTAATGTCACTGAGTATATAATATACAGTACAACCTCGATAATCCGAATACATGCTAATCCGGAATCGCGATAGTCCGAAATAATTTCGTTCCTCGACAATCCGAAATCGTATTGCGTCATACCTTGATAATCCGAAAAATAGTGTCATAGCCTGTCGAACTTCTCAGTACATAGGCTGTTAGTTTCGAGTGCGGTGCGTTCTTAGTGCCTAGAGTTAATACGCGTTTGAAATATAGTTATAATTCGTGCACCATGTCTAAGAGGAAACACAAGACACTTAGCCTTGCGCAGAAATATGAGATAATTCAGAAATTAGACAACGGACGAAGTCCAGTGCAGCTCGTCGCAGAATATGGAGTTGGGAGGTCAACCAT